ATCAGTGAATAAATGCAATTTGGATAAATCAAGAAATTTTGTTTTTAATACTGGTATAATTAGTTGAAATATCTTGTATACATAAGTTACATCGTGTGTAATGTCGTCTGATATAAAACAGTAAGAAATATGTTTCACTACACCATTTTCTTCTTTATAGTATATCACTAATGGATGTAAAGAACATTGTTGGGTGTTCCAGTGATAGCTCTGTATTTCATCTTGGACTACAAAAGCATAATTTTCAGCAAAGTCGCCAAGAATGATAATGTTTGAATTATCCATATTTTCTTTTAGTTGATTAAGGTATTGTGATTGAGATTTGGCAATATAAGAATGAGATTGTAGCTTTTCAAAACAAGATACCAATAGTTCAATAAACGTTGGAACATCTGTTGTTAAACTCAATAGTGTTGCACGATCAGTAGTTTGCCATTGTTTGTAGTGTATCTCAAAATCATCTTCGTATTCTCCAAAAATCTCATACAAATACATGGTGAGCAGTTCTTTACCAGGACAATTATCACACTGTGCAAGCATGCATTCTTTGTTTTCTACTGAGCAAACAGTTTTCAAAAGTAAATCCTTATACGTTAGTTCAATATTTAAGGCATCCACTAGCAAAATGGCATTTTGGTGATAAGAACAAACACAAACAGAATGTGTACCACTTGCACCTCGCAAAATGCACCACTTTGGTCTAAGTGAAGCAAATTTTGAGTAACTTATTTGTATTTCTGGATTGTTTTCTTTGTATAATACATATAGTTCCTTTAAATTACACAAAAGCAGTTTTTTTTGTTTGTGGACGTTCTTTTGAATGCTGACATAATCTTTTTTTCCAGGCATAGTTCGACATAAATCACTTGAGTCATAAAACAATTTAACTGAATCTTCTATTTCTTTATGTAAGACTTTACCCTTATACAATGGAGAGATACCTAACAATCCCTTTTTATTAAAAGTTTTTCTAGCCATCTTGGCCTGGTATTCTGTAACCGAAAAGTTATTTTGTACTTCTAATATTGACCAACTTGGGGGTGCCAGTGTTAGAAGTTGAACAATAGTTCGTTTGTCAGAACATAGAATTTTTTCTTTTACCAAGCTCTTAATTTCATCAAAGTTTGCAGCCTTCTTTTTCATCCCATTGGTTTCATAACATAGTTTTGAGGAAAATTGAGTTTCAATTTTTCTAGTAGCGTTATACCCCATTTCGTTGATGCATGCAACTTTTTGCTTTCCTTCTGACAGTATATGTTTTAATGATTTTGAATGAGATTTTAGAGGAGATAAACTAAAATTTTTGAGTTCTTTATTGATCTCATGTCTTATTTTTTTGCATGGTGATATTAGAAAATCCTCATCTTGTTCACTCTTACTTTGCTCCTCTTCTGTAAGTTCTTTTTTTCTGGCAATCTTTTGTTTACAAGGTTTGCAAAGTTTCTTCCCAGGAGGAATATTCAAACAATTTCTCATCATGACTTGTGACTCTTTTATTGTAACTACGCCAAGATTTTCTAAAAGTAATTGAATTGTATAAAGTATGTCTGCACATTAGTTCAAAACTTTCGTTTATTTTTTGAAAAACATAAATTAATGAAATATTTAAATTTTACAGCTACATACTTGTGATTTTCTTTGTATGTCTATTGAATGGATCACAACAAGCTTTCTGCCATATAGGATACATTTTCAAATATTTTGTATTATGTCTTTCACATAATATTTCTAAGTTTGATAATTCAATATTACAGCGTAAAGATATAATTATTTTTTCTTCATTGCTTAAAGTTTCAATAACATCTTGTTGGCCTTCGCAAGCATCTGATGTCATTAACCCAATAGAACACATCTTAATAAGATAAATTATTTAGTATGAAAGTATTTCCTAAAAATAAAAATAAAATTCTTCTACTTAATTGTATGTAAAAAAAGTTTTTTAATAAATATAATTTTTAATAAATGTTGTTCTTAATATTATTATTATTAATATTAATAAATGTTGTAAAAAAAGAAGTTTTTAAATAATTATATTATTTAAATTATTAATTTTTTAAAATTTAAATATAATCTTACCAATAAATGTTGTTCTATATCTGAACTTTTATAAACTAAACTTTTATAAACTAATTTTTAATAAACTTTTACAAACTATAGTTGTCAAAATTAAAAAAAATATCATATTAACATAACAATTATTTTTTATAAAATGTTTTTATATATAAACAAAACCGGATGTTTTTTCAGTTGTTAAGTTCATATAATTAAGTTATCATATAATTAAGACTTCCTTAAATATATAAAAAGTCTATTAACCAAAATTAATTCTTTACAGAATTCTATAATTTGCTACACATGTACTATCTTTAGCCATACCCTTTTAATTTTTTAATTAGTTTGCAATGAAGTGTATTGAATGCTTTTGCAGTAAGAAAAAAACAATTCGAAGGATACAAAAAAAAAAAGATCTTTCCTACTTAGTTTTCAGTAAAAAAAAAAGCTCTAGTTTTAAATATATTAAATAATGATATAGTATTAGATAATTCCAAATCTTTGGCTGTAGGATAATTGGAGCTTGATAAGAGATAACAATGATGTCTCAGTGGATTTAATCCTACTTTCTATTTTTTAACTCATCTACAACTTATCACTACTAAGTAACTACTGTTCATACAAAGTAGTTTGATATGTTTTATTGGCTAAATGGTTTAAATGACAGAGATATGGCAATGCCAGGTGTTATGAAACACTATTCTCCTCCCCTCTAACTGTAATAAAAAAAAGTTGTTTTCACCATGTCTTTTGCAATATGCTTTTTTTTAAGTATTCTTGGTAAATTGAACTAAATTAGAACATCACTAAAAATATTTTGTTGTTCCCCAACCCCTCGTTAGAAAATAGTTATGGGCACCCATAAAAGTGGTGTATCTTGGAAACTATGGTTCTATATGTTTTAGTTGTTTTTCCAGTTAGGTTTTTTGTGCCTAGTAAGATAATAAGTAGCTAAAAATATTAAAAGCAAAAAAAAAAAAATTTAGACGGGGGTGTTTTGAGATATATGACCCCTAAGTTTGAATATATAAATTAGGTGTGTTTTTAATTTTAAAGCATGTTCTGCTCATATTTCAGCATTCTAAGTGCATTTTTTGAATTCTGCATTATAAAAGCATTATAAATGCTAAATTTCATATTTTTATTTTCATTATTTTTCATTTTATTAGAGCAAACGTTTTTTTAAAATGATGCAGAAACCAGGTCATTTTGGGAAACCAGGTCTATATTAAAACCTTGATATCTTGTGAACGGCTGAACATTTTTGGCTAAAATTTTGCATGTGAACTTTTCTATATGAAATGCAACAGCTAAAGAAGTTTAAAGAAAATATGAGACCTATGGTTCAAAATCTTGAAAAATTTGGGTGATTTGATGTGGAATTACCCTGATATGTCATTGGCTTTAGATATGTTTGAACTATTTTAGTTATTTAGTGATTAAAATTTTTTTTTTGCTATGTTAATGTTGCAATTTAATTTTTTAATAAACGTTGTAATTTAATATTAGCTTTAGGTAGTTCAGGCAGCAAATTTGTAAGTTTAGTAAATTTTAACAGTTTCAATCATATAGTTTAATGATACATGCTAACTAAAGATGTTTACTTTATTGATACATGCTAACTAAAGATGTTATAACAAAAAGTAAAACTTGAAATTAAATCTATTTTAGTAAACTATTGTTATATTACTATTATTATTACTTACTCCTTTTTAATTCATTAACTGGTAAGTGATTATGTGTATTTTTATGTGTATAAATAGAAATATAGTTTTTTATACGATTATATAATTTTGTGTATTATGCAGCTATTTAATCTCTAGCTTTTTGTTGTACTTCAAATAACCAATAAGATATTTCATAATTAATTTTTTTGTTGATATTAGGGTGTGTTAAAACAACAACAAATTTACCATGAGTTTTACATTCACCTTTCATACGTTGGTGGTTGTCCGTTACAATTTATAAAACCTTTTTATTCAGAAAAAAATATTGTTTTGGGACTTTAGGAAACAGTAGTTATCCTATTTTATCTTTTTTTAAGTTTAAGAACGGTGGGGGAGGGGGGCATATACCCCTCTTATAAGTCAATGTAAACATTACTTATATACATAAGTTCTTGTAGAACATAATTTTATATTGTATACTAATTGAATTCATTTTAATAAAGATAAATAATTACGAAAACAAGTCATTTTTGATGCTAGGATGTATCAAACCATCACCACCATACCCACCTCCATCGTTAACATACGCCTCATATACTTTGGTAGTTTAATACAAATTTAAAACAACTTTTTTGTATAACTAAATTATTTATGTCTTGAAAATAGACTTGTCTTCAGATAAAAATGGTGGTTTTGCATCCCCTCTGTCCATCCAATACGCCTGGTGGTTAGAGTTTAACAAAAATTTGTAGCCCACTCTTACAAAGTTATGGCAATTTAAGTGAAGAAAAACATAATTTTGACCACAGTTTCTTTAACAATTCCATATATTGAACAATCGGTACTTGAACCATCCTAACTTTTGAACCAATTGTTTGATTTTTATAATTTTTTGCCTTTAAAATACTGTATTAATCCTCTTTCCAATGATATGTAGCAGTAGAATATTTAAACAATTTGAAATTTTTACTCACATACCTATTATAAAGATGTTACACTTTGTTTTTTTAAATTTTTATCTTTTTAACATGATTTATATCAGAAAATATACTATAAAAGTTACTAATTTTTATTTAAAATTCAGTTCATGAACTACTAGTTTACCTATTTTACTAAAATGTAAATAAAATATAATTGAAATAATATTAATATTAATAATAATAATAATAATAATAATAATAATAATAATAATAATAATAATAATAATAATAATAATAATATAACATCATTAAATTTGATATAAAAGAGTTATAAAAAAAACTTAAAAATAGTAAGACTTACATTTTTTTTATCTTGAAATGTAGAATATTTAAAATCAGCCATACAGTAACAATTCATCAATTGCTAATCATGGTCGTTGTGATATTTGACTAACATTTATTAAAAAGAAATATGAACAACAAAAAAAAAAAACTATAAAAATACTTAAGGAAAAAAATTCTTTATGAAACCAAAAAATCTAAAGTTAAGGCTAAACTTTGAATACTTGAACACTAAACACCCACATAATTTTATAGTAATGTCCTAAGTTTTTAATGGAGTTAAACTACTAGTTCTATGGGTAAGAGCTGAAGACTGTAAATGTATATATATATATATATATATATATATATATATATATATATATATATATATATATATATATATATATATATATATATATATATATATATATACATATATATATATATATACATATATATATATATATATATATATATATATATATATATATATATATATATATATATATATATATTATATATATATATATATATATATATATATATATATACATATATATATATATACATATATATATATATATATATATATATATTATATATATATATATATATATATATATATATATATATATATATATATATATATATATATATATATATATATATATATATATATATATATATATATATATATATATATATATATATATATATATATATATATATATTATATAGTAGTTTAACTCCATTGAAAACTTATGACATAACTATAAAATTATTCAAGCAAATAAAACCATGCGTTAAAGACTCTCTCACAAACACAAAATAAGTTTTGATTAGCCAAAAATATAATAACACTTGGTAAAAACACTGCCTCTTTACGGAATTAACAGACAACATTCTCAAAGTTAAACAAAAACTGTTTTCATGAAGATTGACAATTAACAAAGACAGTATCAAATGCCAATATAACGATGACATAAAATTTATCAAATACTTGCATAAAACTGAGACAATCAAATAAAAAAAAATTCTTTAAATTCAATTGACTTAAGTCGAATTTAGGAGGTGCGTGCATTTAAGGATAGATTTTAAGTTACTTATATTTCTTGGTTTTAAAAGTGTTCGGCTTATTCCCAAGTGGATAGTTCGCAAAATTCACGAGTTGTGATTTTTAACAAATTTACGTTATAAGTGTTAGTAAGGGTTTTTTTTTTGCATACTTTGTCAACGTGATTATTTATTGTCATATGAAGTTGTTTAAGTCCAGTAAATATCAGGTGTGGTGCAAAGCATGTGTATTTTAGATTAAGATTAAGACTGGGAAGCTGATGGAGTATTTAACAGTAGACTTATTATTTCAAAAATAATAAGTCTACCCGGTGGGAAATCGGCTAGCGAATAGCTAGCTATAATCGTAATGACAAAGACAGCGATATAACCACGAGGATCGCTAGCTTTTTTATCGATATTTGTAAAGATAAAGACAGCGATTTGGCTACTTGCTACAATATCGCAATGTTTAAAGTTCAATTATTCTCATAATTATAATAGACTCAATACTAAAAATCAAATTTTTAAAGATGCTAATGACAGTAAGAAAAATAAAATAAGAAAAAAAAATCGCTTGAAAATCGCTATAAAGCTAGCAAGTCACTCGCTAATCACTAGCTCATTTCCCACCGGGTAGGTGGGCATTGCACCCTAACTATAAAATACACATAACTACAAAGTAAACAAGTAACAAAGCAAGTGCAAGGATGGGCAAAGCAGGCGAGTCTCAAGTATAGGTGTAATATGTAATAACTTAATAAAGAAAGTTTTGATAAAATCGGTTATTATTTTTAAGATTTATACCTTACCATTGTTTACTTTAGTTAATTAAACATAGCAAGAGAAAACCGCGTAAATAAAGTTATTTTTAATGAAATAGTTTTACAAATAATCCGAGCCTTGTGTTTAAAAAATTATAGTTAAAATCATTGGAAAGAATTTTCTTGTTTTTCTTTTTTTTATTTTTATCTTTCTTATTTAGCAAATACTACATTGGGTGTTTAAATAAATTTATTGGGTGTTAAACTTAACATTGGGTGTTAAACAAACTTAAATAACAATAATAATAATAAAAATAATAATAATAATAACAATAATAATAATAATAATAATAATAATAATAATAAGAAGAAGAAGAAGAAGAAGAAGAAGAAGAAGAAGAAGAAGAAGAAGAAGAAGAAGAAGAAGAAGAAGAAATTTAAAACCTGTTGTAGAATTTAAAAAAAATTTAGTTGAGAAAAAAAAGTATTTTAAAAACTCATTGCCCTCATGTTGGGGGTAAGGGAGCCAACATTTCAGGGTATTTTCCTTGGCACTAATCGCCGCAATTCTTTTGATATTTGAATCAATTTAATAAATACATAAAAGCAAAAAAAGTTTGAAAATAGACTTCTTTTGAAATTGAAGGGTTATCCTAGAATGTATACTTCAAACACGATTGCATGGTTTTTTTAATCATCAGAAATAAATTTAATACGAAAATTTAACCGACTGAATTGTGTCAAATACCCGACTAGCCGATTAAATTCGTGAAAAAACCGACTATAACTTGAAAATCACCTTTTTCGGGGGAGGAGGGTGTAACATCCACACACCCCACACTACCCATTAAATTGCCTCTGTTTAATACAATATGTAACTTGTCGACACAATTTTTATCAACTCATGAGAGTCAGAGGGGTTATTTCTACCCCGCAGACTCTACCGAATTGAGAAATCCAATGTCATCCATCCCAATTTAAAAATTGTAAGAGCACCGTTGTTTTGGTTTCCTATCGCATTTTTAAAAATAATTTCCGCTAGTTTATTCTTTGATATAAAAGAAATGGGAATGAAATAAGCATTTTAAAAACGCTTTCATTTAGAATTAGAAACATCAGCCTTTTTTCTAACAAAATATATAAAAAAAATATATTCATATATATTAAAAATACTTTATTCCAACCCTATGTTACTTTTATAAAAATTAAAAACAAAGCAGCATAATTATAGCTTCCACTGTTTCGGTTGTTTCGTTGGAGAAAGAAAATTTCAGTTTTAGCAATGAAAATTTCAGTTTTAATTAATTTAGTGCTGCGCTCTCCTTTGTAAAAACTGGGACAATGACCATAGCATATGCATAATTCACTTTACTAAACTACAGATAAAAAATATCCATCAGTAGATTAATCAGTAAATCAGCCACCAAAAGTGATATCTACCTGATAAAAACTTTACACTTTTAATGTAATTTAGACTTTTTTTTATTTTTTTTTTACTTTTTTATTCTGATTTACTCACAACAAGGCTGCAAGCAACCACTATTAAGTTGGAAGTTACTAAAAAAAAAATAAAGTTATAGGACAAAGAAACGGTTGAAAGAATACTTAAAAAGTTGTAGGTTGTATGAGTCAGGAAAGCATGATGATGGGAGAAAGTTCCAAAGACTTCAAGTGCGGGAAAAAAAACAATTATAATAAATAAATAAAAGTTTTAAATAAAAAGAAATAAAAGCGCGGAAAAAAAAATAATTATAATAAACTAACAAAAGTTTATAATAAAAATAAATAAAAGTTTTTAGAGCATGCAGGAGCAGATACAGTAAACAAATGAGACTTTGCAGAATGACGAGTCAAACGAGAATGAGTTTTAATTGATGGAATTAGAGATGATAGCTCTTTTGAGCAGGATACATGATAGTATTTGTAGAAAAGAGAAAGAGATGCAACTTTACAACAATGGAAAAGAGGCTCATGCTTAAAAGTTTTCAACACCACGCAAACATTATCAGTCATTTTAGGGGATTTAACACGATTATATTTTACCTAATCTTTAATAGTATTGAATCCATTCATCATTAAAAATCCATTCTTTATCAAGAATCCATTCTTCATCAAAGTTTTTTGTTCAAATATTATGCAATCACAAATGTTTTCAAAATTTCAAGTTAACAAGCAGCATTTTTTTTTTCAACTTATGACAAGTTTATTGTTTTTTTGATCAAGTCGATTTCTTTTTATGACTTTTCCGTGCTCAACAATGAATTACGTAAGAACTTGAAATCTTCACAACTTTGAGAAATTTCTTATCCAAAATAAAGATTGAAAAACTTTGTCTCAAAACTGCTACAAAAAGAAAACATTTAAAAAAAAAATAGTTTTACTTTCGAGCAAGAAGATTAACAGCATTAAACACGTGATCAAACACGCACAGTGCATTTTTCACAATAAATAGCATTCCTGATGAATTGTTAATAAAAAAAAAAGTTTATGAACAAAACGTTAATAAAATGATTACGTTTATAAAAAGTTTATAAACGAGCATAAACGTTTAAAAGTAAAGACTTCTTAAACAAAATGGGGAAAAAACAATGAAAAGCTTTCTTTGCTAAATAATATGACATCGATGGTGGTTAGGCAGGTTTTCATAATACCCCTTTCATTATTTTAATATGAAAACGTTGTGGTAACTTTTTACATCCGGATACTCTTTCTGACGCTAACTTGCAGATCAGAACTGAATATTTCTGCACTACCACTTGAAGGATTACCATGCAATGTTTATAACCTCCTTCTAACCATACCCTCATTTACCCCTAACCATACTCTCATTTTCATTGGAAGTTTTATATCCAATTTATCCTTTACCTTGATAACGACTTTGGAACCTTACCGGCCCCGACAACTCACGTTAATTTCTAAATCACTAAAATATATTTTTTTCTAATATATTTTAATACCTTGTGAATTGTGTGGAAAATATTGTGTTCATATTGATAAATTCTGCTGACGACAAATAACTTCTAAACTAAAACCATAACTAAGGTAAGTTGGCAAGTTTTGGGCAGTTTAATGAATGTTTGCCGCAAACATCATGAAATCTGAATAAACGGAGAGAATAAGGATGTCATTTTCCAACAGAATATGGATGTTAATTTTAGCAGCCAATTATTTTATCTACAAAATAGAAATAATTTAAGAAACAAATAAATACTATACTTCTTTATTTTTTGTTTTCAACTCGATTTTTTTTTTTTTTTTTACGATTTGCACAATTTCGTGCAAGTTGACAAAGTAAAATTTAATTTCGTGCATTTTGTTTATATGTTAAGTTTAGCAAA